GGTCGATTCCGTTTACTACAACGCTTTTGCAACATTTATCCGTCTTACTATGAGTCGCGTTACAACTCTGATCTTTATCTTTACTCGTCACTTTATTGCCTTTTGCCGCGGGTCATTTCGTCGCGATGTGCCCATATTCTTCGCATCGAAAACACTTGATACCCTTCTCTTTATTCGGACAAGACGCGCTCAAATGATTTTTGTCCCCGCAATTAAAGCATCTTTTAACCTCTTGCTTGCCCGTCTCGGAACGCGCGACTTTCTTTCTCTTATCGTCGGTTTTACTTTGTTTCGACTTAATTTTCATTATTTCGTACACTTCTAATTTACGTTTTAACTCGGAAATACTTTTCGCGCCGTATAAGATAACCTTATTCACCTCTTCATCGTAAATACCGTCTATTATATACTGGATCACCGCGCTGACTTCCACCTTCGCTCTGGACGCAATCTCCATCATCTTGTAACAGTATTCCTGATACGATTCGTCTGCTTTCTTCTTTCTTCTTCGTAGTTCTCGATGTACGTCATGACTGTCGATCTTCTGAGCGAATTCTCGTTTCAACGCCGTCTTTACGTCCATCCACGTCTTCCCTCGCACCTCGTACTTCACAAACAGCTTCGCCGAACCACGGAGGAGTTTTTTCACGTAGATCGTCTTTTGAACGTCGTTCCATTGGCACAGGGTTGCCGTTTCGTCGAAGTCCTTGAGCCATTGTCTAATATTTTTACCGTCGTCACCGCTGAATGTATCTATCGAATCTTCGACGTCTTTAAAGGTTAGGAGATATCTCCTGTGCCTATGCGATACTCCTGGGGGTGATCGCTGTCGTCTGTCGTCTTCCAATTCGTCGCTGGAATCCGATTCGCCGTCGTCGTCGCGATCCGCCCGATCACGCTGCTCGTCGTTGCTATCGTCTGCGTCTTCGTCTTCGTCTTTCTGACCTTCGAGAAGTGTCGCTGCTCGGAAACGTTCTACCAGGTCCGCCTTATTTCCCGTCGTCTTGTAGTTGCGTCGTTTTAATTCGTCTCTTAGTTAAGCCACCGTCATGGCCCCAACTCTTGCAACGTCTTGTTCTTCGTCGTCCTTTCTCCTCTTTTCGTCGCTTGTCGCCATCTTGTTACTCGCCTTTTCCTTTTCCACTCGTAATCCCGGCTGAGCCCCCAAGTTGTGGGTGTCGAATTGGGTGTTGGTCAGGATAGGGGATGGAAAGATATCCTCAAGAACCCACGGTTACTGATATACGTTGTATATTTGGGTAATACGGGTGGAAAACTTAAACTTGTACAGTCGTTAACGCTCGCTCGCTCGTATACGCTGTTCGTGCAATATATTGGTTGAGTTTGTTTGCATATATGTCTATGTTTCGCAATTATTTTCAGTTTATTGAGTTCACGTATTTAGTTAGATGTTATGCGTCTTGTATCTTATGTATAACGTCTTTTTTAAGTTTAAGTTACATTTGTGAGCGCTAGATAGATGGCGCAAAGAGAAAGGAAGTAGTAGAAGTCTTTCGTCAGCGCACGAACGAACGTCGTTGTAAGCCACGTATTCAGTATCCGAATAAATATCAAATTTAAACTCTAAACAGTGTGAAAAGTCAATTAATACGTGCCGAGCACCGGTCCTCGCATGAGGACACTACATACTTTTGGTCCTTCGAGCCGGATACATCAGAAAAGGCAGCGCAAGTTCGTGCCCCTAACCTCGAAGCAACGATCCGCGTACGAGATCACAAAGACTCGTTCGCGCATGTGTGGCGCTACCAGGAGAGTTGCCATCTTATCGTGCACCTCGCCGCACGCGATTGAGGTTAGACGAAAGATACGGTCGTTCCGAGAGTGAATTTGCATATTAGCTTCTCGTGAACATTAGACATACCCGAGTGGTAGGCATTGTCGAGCAAGTGACGGTCTCAACGTCACACAACAACAATGACCGACGCAGCAGCGAATCTAAGGGCATTCAAGGCCACACGCAAGCAAGTAAAGGGAAGTCTCACGCGGGTCAGTACATACTTAGCCGGGTTAAGCGTTCCAGACGTATCAATAATTGAGTTGCGTCAGCGTTTACGAAAGGCAAGTGAGCTGTTGGGGATCTTTCAATGAAGCACAAGCAGCGATCGAACAACTCGAGCCCGAGGAAGCTAACGAGCCGATTCACCTCGCGGAAAGAAACACATTCGAGAGCAGATATTTCGCAGTTACCGTTGAGCTGGAAACGTTGATTGAGGAAAAGAGCGCAGCCGAAAGGGCAGCTCAAGCAGCCCGCCAAATTAATATAACGACAGATACATCAAGTCATAGAGAGGGCACGCCCACTTCGCAGGCAAGTACCATTCCAAACGAACACTTAAAATTACCGCGTGTTACGTTGCCTACTTTTTCAGGAAAGTTTGAGGAATGGATTCCCTTTAGAAATATGTTTACAAGCATGATCCATGAAAATACGACGCTGCCTAACGTACAAAAAATGCAGTATCTTTTGTCGGCTTTGACGCATGAAGCCAAGGACATTATTAGTTCTCTGGAGGCATCGGACGTGAATTATAGTGAGGCCTGGAAAATGCTTAAGGACAGGTACAATGACGACAGCTTAATAATACAGAAGCACGTCAAAGCATTGTTCGAGCAGCCTATGCTTACAAAGGAGAATTATTTCGAGTTACGGCAGTTATTAGATAATATGCTCAAACATATACGAGCACTCAAGGCATTGAAGAGGCCGACACATCAGTGGGACGATCTCTTGATCCATCTAGTAACAAGTAGAATGGATCCCATCACGAACAAGGAGTGGGAAACCACCATCAAGAGAGGTGAAATACCTACCTTCAATCAATTGACGGAGTTTCTGACACAACGATGCCGAGCATTGGAAGCGTCATCTCGAAGTCAGCGGACTGCGCTCAATATGCAGAAGGTGAATAAATCAGACAAAAATAAAGGCACAACGGCGCACGTGGCGACAACAAACATCATGTGTGCTTATTGCGCAAAGGGAGACCATCCTATTTTCAAATGCGCTAGTTACCTGGATCTAAAGGTGGATCAGCGTATAAAGGAAGCGAAGTCTCGTAAGTTGTGTTTAAATTGTCTCAAAGCAGCGTCTCACCAGGCGAAGCAATGCACTTCGGGATTCTGTCGAAAATGCCATAAACGACATAACACGTTGCTCCATTTGGAACAAACAACTACGCAGCCTGAATCGGATTCCAAGAAGACATCTACGCCCCCGGATAAAGAAGGCGTGATATCCACAACGGTGAATCATGCCTCTATCGGACAAGCTAGACAGGTAATTCTCGCGACGGCAGTAGTCAACGTCGTGGACGTAAGAGGCGCTTTGCGGCCGTGCCGAGCACTCTTGGATAGTGGATCGCAGTCGTGTTTCATCACCTCTAAGTGTGTCAAGAAACTAGGTGTCAAGCAATACGTCACAAACATACCAATCTTTGGCGTGGGCGATTTGGCGACTCAGACACGTGGACTCGCAAAAGTGACAATACAATCAAGGATCAACGGATTCCAGGCTAAGCTTGATTGCCTAATAATTGAGAAAATAACACAAGATCCAGTAAATCGTCTTAACATTCGCAACTTGCAGATCCCGGACGGCATTACATTGGCGGACCCTGAATTCGATCGTCCAGCCGACGTGGATATATTACTCGGTGCAGAAATCTTCTTGGACTTACTGTGCATCGGAAAGATCAAGCTTTCAAATTGTCAACCAGCTTGGCAGAAAACGCTGCTCGGTTGGGTGGTTTCTGGCAACTTTATGGTTCACGACCAGCCAAGGAATGCGACAATATGCAATCTATCCGTCAACGAGCAACTCAACTCAAGTCTCGCACGCTTTTGGCAGGTCGAGCGTGCGGAGCGACAAAACACGCGAACTCCTGAGGAGCGCATCTGCGAGGGACATTTCGCACAAACCTACAGGCGCAACTCTGAAGGTAGATTCATCGTAACCATGCCCACTAGACCGGAGGTACTGCAGAAGTTAGGTGACTCAAAGGATATTGCCTTGAAGAGATTCGTGACTTTGGAACGTAAGTTGAATCGGGATTCTGAGTTGAAGAGAGAGTATACGGAATTTATACACAAGTACTTGGACTTACATCACATGAGAGAGCTTCAATCGAACGCAACATTGACTCACAACCCAAGTGTGCAGTATTACTTACCACATCATTGCGTGATAAAGGAGACGAGCGCGACCACAAGACTTAGAGTTGTTTTCGATGCGTCTAGTCAAACCACAAGTGGAATTTCATTGAACGATGCTTTACTGGTTGGTCCGGTCTTGCAGCAAGAATTATTCTGTATACTACTTCGATTTAGAAGCTTCGAGTATGCCCTGACCGCTGACATTGCTAAGATGTACAGGCAGGTGCTGCTAAATGAGGCTCAGATCCCTCTACAACGTATCTTATGGCGAGATCAACCAACAGAAGAAATCAAGACTTACGAATTGGTAACACTCACATACGGAACCGCACCAGCTTCATTCCTAGCCACCAAGGTCATACAACAACTAGCGAAGATGGAAGAGGAGCGATTCCCCATAGGAGCAAAGATAGCATGTCGTGACCTTTATGTCGACGACTTAATAACAGGAGCGAACTCAATGGAAGAAGCGTTAGCGATTCGTGCTCAGATAACGGCATTACTCAAGGGTGGAGGTTTCGCACTGAAAGTGGACCTCAAATCGCGAAGAATTACTAAAAGGGTTTCCTGAGTCATCCATCAGCAATACAATACTGGAATTGGACAAGGATGGAACTGCTAAAACTCTAGGCATCAAATGGAATCCGTCAAAAGATGTGCTACAATACACGATTGGTGTGCAAGCACCTCAGACAAGCGCTTGCACCAAAAGATCAATGTTATCTAGTATCGCTCAGATATTTGATCCACTTGGACTCGTGGGACCGGTGATCGTGACCGCCAAAATCATGATTCAGAAGCTCTGGAAACTTCAGATTGATTGGGACGAATCGCTGCCCTCGGAGATTTATACAGAATGGATAGACTACGTCATGAAGATACAAGAGCTCAACGAATTTAAAGTACAACGCAAGGCATTCGTTTATGGAAAAGACGTACAATTCGAGCTTTACGGATTTTGTGACGCAAGCGAACGAGCTTATGCTTGTATTTATGTACGAAGCATCGATTCTCACGGAGGTATTCAAATGCATTTACTCTGTTACAAATCTCGCGTGGCTCCTGTCAGAGTGATCACTATTCCGAAATTGGAGCTATGTGGTGCTGAGTTACTTACAAGATTGATGGACAAGGTCAAACATGCAC